TTTCAAGGCATCTAGGTTGGTGGCAATTGTTGCCTCCTGTGCGACTGAGTTTCATAGGTCAACTGCGCTGTGTGAAGAAGTACTTTCTTTTGTCTGAGAAGAATCTTCCAATATTCAGCTTCATTGGGTGCCCGCGGGGTCTAGTGTCATTAGAGAGGGAGAAGAACTTTACTCCGTCCTTTCTTCATGCCATGCATAATTGAATAAAAGTCACTCACCTCACCTCTTGCTTGCCTTTCCTCTGAACTAAAGATTCCCAGACCCTGCAAGCTTTCCTCATGGAGGAGTTACTCTATCTGCTGGATCATCTGAGTTGCCCTTTTCTGAACATTTCTCAGCTCTGCAGTATCCTTTTTGAGGTGAGGCAACCAGAACAGTACACAGAATTCCAAATGCAGCCACATCACGGATTTGCATAATGGCATCTCTATGCAAAGCAGGACCAGTGTGGGGCATGACATGGTGAGAATTCTAAAGGCCAGCAAGAGATGCCTTGAGGGCCACATTTGGCCCCCAGGCCTGAAATTCCCCACTCCTCTTTTAGAGAAGCCTCTCTTTCACATGGTTTCAGTGACAAAAGGTTTAAAAAGGTAAAAGGACCCCTGACCATTAGGTCCAGTTGTGACCGACTCTGGGGTTGCTGAGTTCATCTTGCTTTACTGGCCGAGGGAGCCGGCGTACAGCTTCCGGGTCATGTGGCCAGCATGACTAAGCCACTTCTGGTAAACCAGAGCAGCGCACGGAAAGGCCATTTACCTTCCCGCCAGAGCAGTACCTATTTATCTACTTGCACTGGTGTGCTTTCGAAGTGCTAGGTTGGCAGTAGCAGGGACCGAGCAACGGGAGCTCACCCCGTCGCAGGGATTCGAACTGCCAACCTTCTAATCAGCAAGTCAAAAGGTTTACCTCCTATGCAAAACCCTAAATGTGTCAGAACCCACTCAACAGCCTTCTTGATCAACTATCAAAAGAGAGGTGGTTCTGTCTCTCAAAAGAAGAGAAAATGGAAAGAGTTCTGACATGATAGCAAGGGGTCATCTATTAATAAGTGGTCAGCAGTGACAATATTTCTTCTTCTCTGAAAAGAAAAAAGAAACCTTACAAGGGGGTGGGGAGCATTGGAATATTGGCTCATACTTCTCCATTGGCGTTCCCTGAAAAGCTTTGATTAGTTTTCTTAAAAGACTACACACTACATAATTTGAAGCAAGAGGTTAATGGTGTTATTACAACTATTATCCCTTTTAAAATTGTTATCCTCTTGTTTTTCCCGTCTGTATTACCTTCACCTTTCGGTGAACCCATTTTCCCAGCTGTTTCTTTCTGCCGTAAAGTTTGCCAAACACCATCCCAGGAAAGAATAAATGGAGTGTTTTATCAGTTAAGCCTAAGGGAATTTGCAGATTCCCGTAACCCAAGCCATACAGAGAGATTAGAACAAAAATGTATTTAAAAAGAAAAGATGACCACAATTGAAATATAGTCTCCTCCAAGTGAATAGGTGAAATGAATTGGAAAAAGCTCTTCTCGTTCTGGAAATTTAAAAGATTGGATATCACAGTGAATAAATGGCAAGTTCACATGATGGATGTTTACAAGGAAATCTAATTCATCCATCTAATTTGCCCGTCGTTATTAGAAATTTGTAAAATGTCCATCATTACAGAAGGCTGGAAGTGATGTGCAGGGAGAGGGGAGAATGTCATTGACAGCATTGCCTCCCCTCCAAATGCCGAACTTTATTTCTCCCATAGGAATGAATGGCAGCCATTCACAGATGGGGAAAGACAGGAAAAAGCTTGAAGTCACAGGCACCATTAAGGTGGGGCTTAAACCTGCTCCTGGTGATCCCAGTGTCTGGCATGAGAAGCAAATTTTGTTCTTTCTCTGAAGCTTATATTATTTTTGCGCCGCTGAATTCCTGGGAGCCCCTGAAATATCGCCCACCCCTTTATTGTGGGAGGCAGGGGCTATTGTTTTGTTATTTTTGTTTTAACTACTTATTTGCATTTTTATCTCATGAACCGCCCTGAGATCTTTTGTTGAAAGGCAGTATATTAATAATAAAAATAAGAATTAAAAATGCATTGCCCCATTCCCTCTCCCCCCCCCCCACGATTTTAGAGTTTAAATGGATATTGGAGTTGTAGGAGGGGGGCAAACAGAGAGTGAAGGCAATTGTATCAGGAGCTCTGTGGGTTAGACTGGATGACCTGCAAAGTCCCCTTCCAACTCAGTGACTTCACAATTTTAAGACTGGGTTCTCGGGGAAGGGTCTGCTAAAGTGGTCAAACCCATTGGACAGGATATTATTTTAAATGCCCTGGGGCAGGACTCCTGAGAAACGATTGTTGCTTCAGGTGCTTCAAGGATGAGGTGGGGTTTGTGGGACTCACGTCCTCCCAATGCCATAGCTCTCCCAAGCTTTGCTCTGCAGCCTCCTTGAGTGTTTCTGCCTGGCTGGATCATGTAATTTGCTTGCCTGGATTGAGGACAGAAAGAGATGTATAAGTGGGTCTGTAGAGACTAGACTACGGTACCGAGGGAAAATCTACCTCTGTTGCTCCAACTTCTTTTGCCTCTCGCCCTGCTCACCATGGACACGTGGTCTCCAGCAGGTTGCCCAGGAGGAAATGTTGTGAATAACCCAAATATCACAACACACCAATGAAGAAGAAGAAGAATTTGGATTTGATATCCCGCTTTATCACTACCCTAAGGAGTCTCAAAGCGGCCAACATTCTCCTTTCCCTTCCTCCCCCACAGCAAACACTCTGTGAGGTGAGTGAGGCTGAGAGACTTCAGAGAAGTGTGACTGGCCCAAGGTCACCCAGCAGCTGCATGTGGAGGAGCGGGGAATCGAACCCGGTTCACCAATTACGAGTCTACCGCTCTTAACCACTATACCACACTGGCTCCTAATAAACCAACCTCCAGTGACTTCCTTCCAAAGGGAAACAAACACAGGCAAGCCCTGCACCCCTGAAAAGATGGCAAACTTAGAACCACTTCTCAGCAAAGGTCCTCTTCCCCCCACATACAATGTTGTGAGCTTTTGTTGTGTGCTGCCGTCCGCTCCCATAACCTTGCATCGACATTGGGGTGAAGGTACCGAAGGGGCACCAGGTGGGAGCT